TCTGGGGTTCCGATGGCTCTGCGATGGAGAGCGCGACGTGGCCACGCCAAAAGTCGACGGACGTCCTGGGGTCTCGGGGTGGGATGTCTCGTGGAAGTTTTCCTGTGCACTGGCCTCCACTGTACGATGTCCTGATTTTTTCTGCGCGGGGTCCCCGGCAGTCGCGGCCCTTTTCACGGGGCCCGCATTTCATCCCGAGTCCCCCACCCTGGTGCGGGTTGCCTCTGCCTCCGCCGCCGACGAAAAAGGTTTCATCCCGAGTCGCCTGGTTGACGGTTCCGAGCCCCAGCGAGGGCCCCCAGAGGCCAACAAATGGCAAAAGCCCCCCCACTCACGTGTTTTTTTTGTACGACGCGAGCGTGTTTGGGGAGAGGTCCTGGAGGACATGGGTTCTTCAGGGCCTCCCAGGTGGGGTCGGAGTGGATGTGGTCGCAGGCTCATCGGCGCTGCGTCGGCGTGCGGCTCGATGTGGAGCCCGGTGTTCGCCGCGTTGGCGTCGCCGATGCATCGCCGGCGTCGCCGGTGCATCGCCAATGCATCGCCAATGCATCGGCGATGCATCGGGGATGCGGCGCGATTGTCCGACCCCGTCTACTCTGAAGTCGGGCACGTCTCTCTGCAGGAACAACATGCAAGCACAGTCACAGAATAGTCAGGGGACGATTTGTCGACTATGTTTGACTAACCTCAGGAAGGCATTAAGAACCCCCCCCCCCCTTTTCCGGTGGATTATAACGCCCCCGCACCCTGGAGCGTTATGGCCGCACCGGAAGACCTGGCTGAGGGGACTCGGGGCCTAGCTAAGGCCTGCCAAGCGCAGATTTGCTCCTGCCAAGCAGTTTAGCAGGGCCAAGCAGGGCTTAGCAAGGCTTAGCAGGGCATAGCAGGGCTTAGCAGGGCTTTGCAGGGCTTTGCAGGGCTTTGCAGGGCTTTGTAGATCCTTGACATTCGTCACGACACCCTCTCTTGGCGTTAGTGGGGCGGCCGCCGATGGTGGATTTTGTTTTCTGTGTGCGGCGGGTGCTAAGTGTATCGTTCGGCTAAAACTGCCCGCCTGGAATATTGAGAAAACCGGGTGCTAAGAATAACCCAGGGGGGTTTCTTAATGCCTTCCTGAGGTTAGCTGTGGTAACTAGTTCTTATCGTTCTTCTAAACCTGCAGGAGGACATGCCCGACCTAAACCCACTCCAGCCCCGTCTGAGAGGCCTCCAGGGGCGCGGGGGCGGGGCGCACGCGCGGGCCGTCGGAGCTGGCGCGCTGCGGAGAGGGCCTCGCCTGGCGCGCCTCGCCGTCGGCAGGAATGGCCGGCGGGGGGCGGGGGGGCCGGGCGGAGCGCGTGGCAGCGGCGGGGCCACCCGGAGTGCGGGGCGGGGCGGCGGAGGGCGGCGGGAGCAGGAGCGAGGCGCCCACGCCTGGGGATCCGGGGTTCCGGGAGGCTGCCAGCAGGGGGCGCTCCAGAAACTGCCTCCTCCTCCTCCTCCTTCATCTCCTCTCCCTCCTCCTCCTCCTCCTCCTCCCTCCTCCTCCTCCTCCTCCTCCTCCTCCCTCATCTTCTCCTCATTCATCTCTCCTCCTCCTCCTCCTTCATCTCCTCCTCCTCCTCCTCCTCCTCATCCTCCTCCTCATCCTCATCCTCCTCCTCCTCTTATCCCGCTCCTCATGATTTCAGGTATTCCCTCGCCCTTCCTCCTCATCCTCCCCCCCTCCTCCTCCCCCTCGTCCACCTCCTCATCCCTGCTCCTCATTTGAATCATTCCCTCGCCTTCCCTCCGCCTCGCCTGCGAGGCATCGATGTCGTGCTGTTCCCCTTTGGCGGCGGAAGGCCTGCGTGAAGCTGGCGGGGGCAAATCTACTCCGCCATTGGAGGGTCCCCGCGGAGGTCAGTGGTGCTGTCAGGAGGGGCGTCCCGGCCTGCCGGCGGAGCGGGTGCACTGCGCGAGGAGTTGAGTTGAGCAGCCCACGCTCCCCAAGTCGGGGGCGGCCAAGAGGGGGGTGGTGACTAAGGGTGGGGGGGAATATCATGGTGGGGGCCATTATATCCCCCACATGTCATGGCGCATCTTCTCGTTTCAATGACGTCGCCGCCCCCCCCCCCCCCCCTGGGCCCGCGCACGTCCGCTGGCCATGATGTGCGCCCCCCCCCCCCCCCCCCTCTTGGACGCCCCCCTCTTGGCCGCCCCCGACCGCGGGAGGATCGCACTTCGGGCGATCGGGCCAAGGCACGGTTGCCGCCGCAGGTCAGATCGGGGCTTCTCTTCGTGCTTGCTCGTGCCCTCCCGATCGTCTCCTCTAAAGGGGCCCCAGAACACACAAATAAATACACACAAATAAAAATATTCCCGATATTTTCGCATATTTTCTAGGTTTTTGTCTTCCCCCCCCAATTCCCATATTTTCGCATATTTTCCTGGGGATCGACGATTGATTGTGTCTGTGTGTTTTTTCCCCTCCTGATCCTCCCGTGCTCACCGCGATGGTCGGAGCGCGCGGCAGATGCCGATGCCCGCGTCGCTGCAGCTGCCAGCCGTGAGGGGCGACGCTGGATCGGTCGACCGTGCGTCCCGAAACTGATCGTGGTTCGGGCGTTCGATGGTGCAGCCGCGCGTGGGATGTTCGCGGCGTGCGTCTGGATAATTATCAGCTCAGCAGAGTTGTGAGGAGCGCTGGGCCAACCGAAGCGGAGAGGACGCCCGCGGCGCGGGGCGGCCCTGGTGCTCCCGGCAGGCGCGCAGGGAGCGCCACCGTGCAGCACGGCCTGGCCCGCATGTCGGTCTCGTTCGAGGTCGTGGCAAGCAGCCGCTCCGTGCAGCGCTGCCAGTGCACGGGCGCTGCCGCTATGGCATCACCGTCCGTCGTCCACGTCGTCGCTCTCGTCTCAGGAGGGGAAAAAACACACAGACACAATTAATCGTCGATCCCCCAGAAAATATGGGACAATATGGGAATTGGGCGGGAAGGCAAAAACCCAGAAAATATGGGGGAGTATCTTATTTGTGTGTATTTATGTGTGTGTGTGTGTGTGTGTCCTGGGGCCCCTTCACCGTCGTTGTGGGGTGTGCACGTCGTCTCCTCTTTCTCGGGCCCCCGTCCCGCGGCCCCGAGGCCTTCCACGAGCTGGCCTGGAGCGCCCACCAGCCTGGTGGAGCTGCAGCGGCAGACGGCACGCCGCCCAGAGATGGTTGCCGCGGGGTTACGGCCGCCATGACTTGCTCCGCCTCCTGCCGCTGCTGGTGCCGCTGGTGCTGCCTCTGATGCTTCCGCTGCTCCACGCACCCATCGGTCGTTGATAGTAGGGATTTCTGGATTCCCAGAACCCAATCTACTTCAAGTGCCTTCCTACTTCAATAATCGATGCGCTTTTGGTGCTTGTTGTTATTCTCTTGGCGGGCCCGAGCCCAATCTACTTTAGCCGCCTTCCTATTCCATGTTTCTACCTACTTCTTCCGACCGGTGGGTAATCCTTTTTTCCAGCCGTGATCCGCATCAGCAGCAGCAGCAGCAGCATCACTATTCACTGCCAGCCACACGCCGGTGTGGTGTCAGTGTGGTTGTTCGCTTTTTTTTCGCTGCAGACGGCTTAACTCTGGTCATCGTTTGTGGCAGAGCCGATGGTGCTGGTGTGAGTCAGGGGGCCGTGCTCTGCTGGCGAACACTTGCGAATGAGATTTCCGCCGAAGAGAGCGGAAGGCGGGACACCCCGTCGAGATTATCGTATCAGTTGTTTTCCATGTCGGATGCATAAAGATTTTCCGGTAGCCACACCCATGCAATCTTTTACCACACACACACACACACCTTCAAATTCTCACTGGCAGACTGGCATGAGCCGGGATGGGTACGCTCGAGATTCGGGCCGGACGAAAGGGGGGGATTGGGAAAGGGGGGGGTACGAAATTTGCTGCATGCAGCTGGATTCGGCCTCACCGAGGGGCCCATTCCTCGATGCATGGCCGCCTCCGGCGCCGGGAGGCGCCGGGAAAATCAGCTACGCGAGCTGATTCTCAACCCCCCCCTTTGCTATCCCCCCCTTTCGCCCGACCCGAGAGATTCGAAACATGCTTGCTTTGCGACTTCGTGCCATCTGTGGAGGCGGGCCAGTGCATCTACTGCTCGCCACCGGTGAAGAGGCTGGGCATCGGCCCGCTAGCGCCCCCCCCCCACCCGCCTGGATGGCTGATGCGCTGGCACACCTTCGAGAGCTCATGCGTCAGCGACTCCCTCGAAGTGGCGTGTGCCAGAGTCGGGGAAACGTAGGACTCGAGTAAGCCGGAGCTCGGTTTTGCCGACGTTTTTGTTGACGAGCGCGTCCTGGAGTTTGACGGTCCAGTTTTCGTGGGATGTCTGCAGCGAGAGCCCTCGTCAAATTTCGGATTGGGTCTCGTCATTTCTATGGTGGCCCCGTCGGGCCCAACCCGAGTCCCCCGTACCCGAATCTTACGTCTCCCCGACAGAGGGCCCTGTGCAATGCAGGCCAATCGTGATGTCCTCCGCAGCGCAGGGTCGAGCCAGCAGCCACCGCGTGATCTCCGGGGGCTCCGTCGCCCATGGTGCCGTGGCCCGTGGTGTCCGTGAAGGGCGCGCGGACCGCGGCACGCCGCCAGCTGGGGCTGGAGGTCCGTCCGATGGGGCCGCGGCCCGTGCTGCGTGGCTCCCGCTCTGGTGCTCCCCGTGGCCCGGCGGCTTCGCGGTCTTTGGCAGCCCGTGGTCAGAGTGAGTCTTCGCCGGAGGAGCCTTCGGTGCGGGCACGCCGGGATCCCCAGATGGCCGACTGCGATGCGGCAGCAGCGGCTTCAGGCGCGGCGGGTGTGGCCTCCCCGCGGCCCCCGCGGAAGGCGCGCACCCGAGGTCACGCTTGCGTGTAGGGTCACTCCTTGCGTGCAGCCGAGCCGTCCGTGGTTCGGTGGCCCGTGGTGCCCTGGCTGTGAGCAGCGGTGGTTCGGCCTGATGGTCCGAAGTCTCGGGGTGGCATCTCGAGGCGCCTCGCAACGGCGGCGCAGATGTGACGCTTTGGGGCGGGTTTGTGCTGCCATTCATGCTGCGAGGTCCGACTGCAGTGAATTCATGCAGGCACCTTGGGCACCTCCGTTCGGGTTGTGCCGCCCAGGTGTTCTGTCTGGGCACGACTGATGGTTCAAAGTCCGTGAGACGTGGCCCCTCGTTGCCCACGGCCCGTGGACCGCGCTCCGAGTCCGTCAGTGGCCCGTCGTGCGCGGCCCATGGAGGCGCGTGTCCGTGGCCCGTTGTGGGCCATGGTCCGTGCAGGCCCGTTCTCCGCAGCTGGTGGTCGTCCATCGCCTGTCGTGGCCGACGCTCCATGGCGCGTGGCGATCCGTGCTTTCGTGCCGCACGGCCTGAGGCCTGTGGTGGCCCGTGGCCCGCGGAATGGCAGAGTCGCGAGGCTGCTCATGGTCGCTCCGCACATCTTCCCTTGCACCGATGCTGCCGCATCTGTTGCAGCATTCGTCACTGCCATGCCGATCGTTGCTTTTTCGCGCACTCGCGATCGGCAGGCAGAGCGTCCACAAATTCTCCCTGACGTGTGACATCTTCGCAGACCGCGGAGCGGACCGACGGCGGCACCCGACCTGCGAGAGCAGGCGCTTCGGGTTTGCGCGGTCCGGGCGGAAGAGGGCCTTCTGGTCCAGGAGGGGCGGCTCACCGCTGAGGTTACTGAGGAGATAGGGGGGGGCGACGGGTGCGTGCGAATGTGGGTTAAGTTTAGCTTGGCCTAGCCGACTCATAGGTTGCAAGTCTGATAACCCCCTTCTGATTGGCGTAGACTGCATAGGTTACAAGTCTCATAGGTTGCAAGTCTGCATAGCCCCCTCTAGCCGTAATTGGCTAGATTGGGGGCTGATAAACCCCTTCTGCTAAGCCCAACTCCCTCCCCCCGTAAGCTGTTCAGGGCACCTGCAGCCCACTTGTGAGCTAGGTTCGGCCAGATGCCACCCACCTTGTCATCCACTCAGAATCCCCCCTCCTCCCGTCGGCAGCCCAAACGGTGATCCAAGTAGGAGGAGGAAGCGGAGGGGGCGGGCCTTTTTTGTTATTCTCTTTTGTTCCACGTCACGACTTCAGATTTGAAGATACAAAGGCATCGTTGATGCGGGTCGAACCGTAGGCCATGGGGGCGACACAGACCCCCGACGTCGTGATTTGGTGTGCAACCTCGACCCCCAGAGGTCTCGACCCCATCCCCAGAACTGGTTTTTCAGCGTGAACCGTTGTCTGATGGCCCTGAATCCCGGCCAGGGTTCCCGGCGGCCGAAAATAGCGAACAAATTGCCGTCGCGATGTTGTCACCACGTGAGGAAATCTGGGGAGGGAGGAAGAGGTGGAGGACGAGGAGGAGGAGGATGGGGGATGAGGAGGAGGAGGAGGAGGAGAAGGCAGGAGGGGGAGGAGGAGGAGGAGGAGGAGGAGGAGGAGGAGCAGGAGGAGGAGGAGGAGGAGGAGGAGGAGAAGGAGAAGATTGAAGAGGAGTCGGAGGCAGAAGAAGAGGAGGAAGGCAGGCTGCTGCCAGGGGGCGGCTCGCGCCGAGGCAGGCGGCTGGAGGCGGCCGCACTCGGCCTCGGCTTCGCCGCCGCCGCGGGCCGCGTGGAGCTCCGCCGCCTGCGGGGGGCAGTCGAGCAGTGGCGAAACGTCCTGGCTCCTCTTTTTCCTCCTCCTCCTCCTCCTCCTCCTCCTCCTCCCTCGTCCTCGCCTCGTCCTCCTCCTTCCTCATCGTCCTCTCTTGCTCCCCCTCCTCCTGCTCCTCCTCCTCCTCCTCCCCTCCTCGTCCTCCTGTTTCCATTCTCCTCCTTCTCCTCCTCCTCCTCCTCCTTCTCCTCCTCCTCCCCGTCCTCCTCCTCCGCCTCCTCGTCCTCTTCCTCCTCCTCCTCCTCCTCCTCCTCCTCCTCCTACCTCCTCCTCCTCCTCCTCCTCCCCGTCCTCCTCCTCCTCCTCCTCCTCCTCCTCCTCCTCCTCCTCCTCCTCCTCCTCCTCTCCTCCTCCTCCTCCTCCGCCTCCTCCTCCGCCTCCTCCTCCTCCTCCTCCTCCTCCCTCCCCCCTCCTCCCCCCCTCCCCTCCTCCTCCTCTTCTCTCCTCCTCATCCTCCTCCTCCTTCTCCTCCTCCTCCCCTCCTCCTCATTCCTCTCCCTTCCTCCTCTCCTCCTCCTCCTCCTCCTCCTCCTCCTCCTCCTCCTCCTCCTCCCTCCTCCTCCCTCCTTCTCCTCCTCCCTCCTCCTCCTCCGCCTCTCCTCCTCCTTCTCCTCCATCCCTCCTCCTCCTCTTCCTCCTCCTCTTCCTCCACCTCCTCCTCCCCTCCCTCCCCTCTCCCCTCCCCTCCTCCCTCCCTCCCTCCCCATCCCCCCTCCTTATCCTCACCCTCCTCCTCCTCCTCTGCTTCCTCCTCCTCCTCCTCCTCCTCCTCCTCCTCTCCCCTCCTCCTCCCCCTCCTCCTTCTCCTCCGCCTCCTCCTCCTCGTCCCTCCGCCTCCTCCTCTCCTCATCTCATCATCATCATCACATCAGCATCATCATCATCATCATACCCATTCATTCTCTTCATCCTCCTCCCCCTCCCCCTCCTCCTCCTCCTCCTCCTTCTCTTTTTCCTCCTCCTCCTCCTCCTTTCCCTCCTCCTATTCCTCCTCCTCTCTCCTCCTCCACCTGTGTCTCATGTTCCTCCTCCTTGCCGTCGTCTTCCTCCTCAGAGGCTTCTGTTGTCTGCACGAGATGTTCTTGCAGCATGTCCTGTCGGAGACGGTCTTGTTTTGACACAGCGGGTGTACGTTCTGGGAGGTGTGGTTTTGTTCTTAGAACACTTTTGGGGTTCTAAGCACATGTCGTGGTAGGTTGTTTTAGAAATGTTGGGACGGTCTGTACCGGTTCAAGACAGGGTCAGCGCGGGTGTCGGGCAGGTCTTGCAGAGGATCCGCCTGGTAAGGATGGGCAACCTTCCCAAGGGTACCCTTGCATCCTCGCCTCCTCGGCCCATCCTTGGCCACTTTCGTTGGCCGCGCCCCGCCCGAGAAGCTTCGTGATGAGCGTCCAAGGCCCCTGCATCCTTAACGCGCATCCTTATGATTCGGGCCGACTGTAACTCAGGGGGGCGGACCTACAAGGGGAGGTAATTCTAGGCCTCCCAGATCAGGGCTGAGTCGATGGGGTCGGAGGATCACGCCACATCGCCGGTGCAGCGACGATGCGGGTCGATGTGGAGCCCGATTTTCTCCACGCTGGTGTCGCCGATGCAGCGCCGATGTCGCCGATGCATCGCCGATGCATCGTCGATGTATCGCCGATGTATCGGCGTTGGTGCGCGATCCTCCGACCCCATCCACTCCAGCCCCATGTAGGAGGCTCTCTAGTAAAGGAAGGGGCCCTTGTAAAGCCCCCAAAATGGCACCAAAAGGTGCCCCTCGGTGGGGCCCCTTGCTTAGCCCACCCTTCAGGTCAACCCCCCTGTAGCACCTGCCCGAGGGTGGTCTCAGGGGCAGCGCTGGAGGAGGGGATGGGCTCAGGGGGTCTCATGGGCAGCGCTAGGGATGCGCGGTTCGAAGCTCGAGGTTTTCTGGCGTTTTCGTAGGTTCTCGGCGGCTCTCCAGCCACGGGGTGCTCTCCAGTAGCTGCGGTTCGCCCAGGGGTGTCTGGGGCTGCCCGCATCGTTCCATACAGCCGCCGCCGCGCCGAGTCGCGACTTCAAATCCAGTGCGCAACGTTAGTAGAGGATAGGCTGAAAGGGGAGATGCAACGACCCCCAGTCGCCAATTCATCGCCGATAGCCCTCCACGCCCAGGACCGTGTAATTTCGCGATCGAGCTTCTATCGCCGATCTATCTGCTGATGGCCTTCGGCCCATCCCGCCACCGTGCCTGGGTTGTGGGGTTGAAGTTGATGTTCGGTAGGATCTCGTGGGAGGCTCCTCGGGGGCCTCTTGGCAGTTTGGACGCTTCTTGGGGGCCGTTTGAGGGCCTCCTGGTGCCTCTTGTGGGCCTCTTGGGGCCTCTTGGGAGCCTCTTGGGAGCCTCTCGGGGGCACCTAGGGGCCTCCGGGGCGCTTCGTGGAGCCTTCTGGGTGCCTCTTGTGGCGGAGAGCTCGGGTTGTCGGTTCGTACTCCCTCTTTGGGGCCCCTTTTGGGGCCGTCTTGGGGCCCTCTGGGACTTTTTGGGCGCACTGTGGGCTGTCTAGGGGCCTCTTGGGCCGCTGTGGGGCCCGCACGCGACGCAGCCCCTCTGAGGGGCACCGCTACATTTCCGACTTGCGAGTCTCCCCTTTTTCCGAGGATTGTCCTACCCATTTGCCTCCCTTGCTCTCCTCTGCTCTGCTGCTCTCCCCCTCCCCCCTCCGTCATCGGACTCATGCTCTGCTTTGTTCCTCCTCCTTGTCCTCCTCCTCCTCCTCCTCCTCCTCCTCCTCCTCCTCCTCCTCCCTCCCCTCCTCCCCCTGCTCCTCCTCCTCCTCCTCCTCCTCCTCCTCCTCCCCTCCTCCTCCTCCCCTTCCTCCTCCCCTCCCCTCCTCCCCCTGCTCCTCCTCTTCATCCTCCTCCTCCTCCTCCTCCTCCTCCCTCCTCCTCCTCCTTCTCCTCCTCCTCCCCCTCCTCCTCTCTCTCCTCCTCCTCCTCCTCCTCCTCCGCGTCCTCCTCCTCCTCCTCATCCTCCTCCTCCTCCTCCTCCTCCTCCTCCTCGTACTCCTCCTCCTCCTCACTCTTCGGGGGGACGGCTGGGTTTTTTGTTGCAGGGTTGGGAGGTAGGAGGGGCGAAGGTTGCGATGGGGAGGCAGACGCGCGAAATGAGCCCACGTGCAGCACTGCACGGGATGGAAGCATAGATCAGCAGGGGAGGGTCGAGGAAACCAGGGCTCGAGGATCGAGGATCGACGTTTGAGTGCGAGATTGTGCAGGACAACCTGTAGGCAGGGCACGTGAGAGTTGTGACTACGAGACCCTCCATTCGCGCTTCCAGGTGTGCGCGGACACCGAGCTCCAGGATTTCTCCGATCCTCAGCCTGTGTGAGATCTCGTCGCTACTCCATTTGGTGATCTGCCTCGCTCGGTACCTGCAGCGCTGGCCATCATCCCCAGCACGAACTACAACGAACTTCAGAAGATCGGCAAAAGGCTATGGCATCCCCCTCAGGAGGATAAGCAGTTTATGGTCGACAGCTGGGGGGAGCTGGTGACAGAAGGTAAGAAGGTCATCGAGGACATTTTGGACCAGATCAAGCTCCTCGGCGAGGCAGGCGTAGGAGCACAGATGGCACAGAAGCTGGATAACCTCGGCGAGTTGAACGGTGCAGCGGGGAGCCTCAAAGGTTTCGTCGAGAATCCTCCACCAGTGGGCGGAACCGTCTCCGAGGCCATAAAGGCCGTGGTGGCGATTGATCACTACACCGCTGCTCCAGGACTGGAAGGACCTCCAGCAGGGAAAGGTGAGATAGTTCTTGGACCTGAACAAATGTACACTAGTGCCCACTAGTGGAAGGCCTACAAGCTGTCGAGGAGGAGCAAGAGGGTCTTCAACCAGACGATGAGCGACCACTGGAAGACGGGCCACAAGGCCGATGCGACGAGAGACCATTTACTCGACACCCTCCTTCATTACGAATGTTTCGGTCGCATTGGTTCTGGAAGCTCACTTTGGGACTAATGTGCCCGCCTTACACGTGAGCATCTCTCAGGAGTCATCGTCGACCCTCACGTCCATGTCACGGGGCCACTTTGCGTATCCAGCCCTTCAGTGGTGGATGATGGAGTTGACACCGCTATGCACGAGGGGGATGCAACGCCACAGGAAGCCCAACAGGCAGGAAGCCCAGATCGAGACTGCTTTCCGCGATGCCAACTTGGCAGCGTTGGCATCGATTTGGAGCAAGAAGGGCCTGTTCGAGTTAAAGCCAGGACCTTCGATGTGTGAAAGCATGTACGGCGTTTTCTGCAAAAAGGGCAACTCGCTTCACCTCCTGCACCCACTACATGGTGCATGTGTCGTCTGACGTCAGCCGTGAGATGAACCTGTACTCTTGCATTTTCGAGCTGCTGGTGGATTGCAACCGTCGCGCAGGTTATCCCAATATGCATGTCTACAGGCAGTAGTGCCAGACCGGCGGCAGTGTCTAGTGAATGCGCTCTGGATTCACAGTGCGACGATGAGGGAGATCTGGGACAAGCTACAGGCGAAGGAGCAAGTCTTTAAATGATGCAGGGTCTGGAATCGCGCGGCCACGGTGTACCTCATGGCAAAGGCCATCCCGACAGCGTTTCCGAGTGTCCACGCGTAGTCAAACGGGGAGATCGATGTTTCCGACCTCCTGATTATCCAGGTCAGGCTTGTTTCCAAGGGTGAGAGATGGGTCCCTCAGTGGACCAAGGAGCTCACTGCGGACGATCGTTTCCTGGAGCGCATTGGCCGGCCATCAGTGCGACCAACGTGGAGTCGAGCTACAGAGCTTTATGAATCAGATGGGGCAGGCTTGGGCCGCAGCGAAGTCGGAAGACCTCATCGTGGACCCTGGGTCGGGCATTCTTTTCAAGGAGCTTCTCTAGAGGTGCGCTCAAGTCTTACGCGTCCGTGGAGCTGTACCAACTGCACGTCACTGAGGTTTTTGTCGTACATGGAACGGCTACGGTATCTATTGAGAGAGGAATCTCATCTTCTGAGGCGCGGCGGCGTTTCGGCAGCAAGAAAGGTAGGAGCTGTGGTTGTTAGGCCCCTGTCAGCTCCTCCTCCTCCTCCTGCCCCTCTCTCTGTACCCCCTTGTGCGCCGCCATATCGGTTTATAAGGGCCCTTGAACTATCATGGCGCGCCGGTGGCAGACGCGCCCACGCCTCCGCAGAAGGAAAGAGAACGTGCTCTCTTCTAGCACGGGCCCCCCTATTTGTACGTCGCGTCTCTCTGTATCCATATAGACACTCCCGCGCAGTCCACAATGGGCAGCCGCCCCTGTTTCAGGGGCGGCTGCCCAGACCGGGCCGCCGCCCTCGACGCCCTGTCCTCGTGAGCCTGCGCTGGCGAGCGCCAGCCAGGTCGGTGCTCGCGGCTCTCTGACACTGTTCTGTCGGGGGCCCCCAAACTCAGACCATGGCCGGTCGCCCGTGCTCCTCCTCGTCGGTGGTCGGCCTCGCCGCGGCGCTTTGTCCTTGCCACCCTTTCGCGGCGGCGTCGGCGACCGGCGTGCGGCCGTCGAGGTCCTTTGCGCCACTGTGCACGGGCAGCCCGCGAAAACCCGGACGCGCCCGCGCAGACCGGCAGCGCCACCGGTTTTTCGAGCGCGCGCGGCCCCCTGCGAAGGCAAGGGGCCGCATACGGCGGCCGCGCGCACGCTTGGTTTTTTGGCCCCAAAAAATTTTACCCGGCTTGATCCTCGTCCAGTCATAATTTGTTTCGACCCTCACCCGATTCGATCCTCGTCCCAGCTCTTGCAATGACACCCTGTTCGTCCAGTTTCTGGGCGGCGCGGCCCGCGGCCCCGCCCGACCCGGGAGGACAAGAGCGTCACCGCCCCGGCGATCGTGTTGTGACCCCGCTGCCCGCCCTGTGGGCCGCCCCCCCGGCCTGTGCATCGGCTGGCTGCGCGCGCAGCTCGGCTGGATCGCAAGGGTGCGGGGTAAGGAGGAGGGCCGCTGGTCGAGGATCGGAGGAGGAAAAGGTACCCATACCGCTACCCTTGCCTCGGTTTCCCTTTGGGGGGCCTCTTGGGCGGCCTTCGTCGCCACCGCTGGATTCGCTTCGAAACTCTTGGTCACAACGCACCCCCGGAGAGGTCCGTGAAGTAGCGGTATCGGTACCTTGTGGTTTCCTTGGGGGAGGGGAAAGATACAAGCCTAAAGTTTCTGAGTTTCGGCGGGTTTTCCGCGTCGGCGCCGGGCCCCTTTGGGGCCGCCTGCGGCGCCGCCCCTGGGGCGCTCCGCGCGCCAGGGAGGGGCCCAGCGCCAATTTCGAAAGTTTGCGCGGAACTCCGACAACCATGGGAATTCTGTTGTTTTGATGTTGTGTTTGTTCACGAGGGAGAAAAACACCCAGACACAATCACTGGGCAGCTCGCCCCTTGGCCCTCCGCCAGACCCACGCCAAGGGGCGAGCACATCTACGGGCCCAGCACCGGGCTGGATGCGATGCGTTCGGCTGGGCCAGGGAGGGGAAGACCCAACACTCCATCGCGTGGTGCGTGGATGCCCGCACCGACCACAACTCTTTTCAGGCCTTACCCCCAACTCCCCCCTTTTTCCTCCTCGTCCTCCGTCCTCCCTCTCATCCATCCCGCCCCGTCGCCCATCTCCTCCGCCTCCTCCGCCTCCTCCCTCTCCTACTCCGTCCTCCTCTTCCCTCTCCTCCGCCCTCCTCGTCCTGCACCTATCCTTCGTCGGCCTCCTCTTCCCGCTCCCCTTCACCGCCTCTCCCCCTCTCTCCAGAAACTCGGTATCCTCCCTCCCTCCCGCCTCTAGCCTCCTTGTCCGCCTCGTCCTCCTCCTTGTCCGCCTCGTTGTCCGCCTCCTCGTCCTCCTCCTTGTCCGCCTCCTCGTCGTCGTCCTTCTCCTCCTCCTCCTCCTCCTCCTCCTCCTCCTCCTCCTCCTCCTCCTCCTCCTCCTCCTCCTCCTCCTCCTCCCCCTCCTCCTCCTCCTCCTCCTCCTCCTCCTCGTGTTTTCCCTCATCCTTATCCTCCACTCCTCCTGGGTGGGCGCGAGCGGACAACTACGTCCCCCAGCTCGCGTCTCCCCGCGAGCACCTTCCCAGTACGCACAAAGGGTAACACTCTCCGACAGATTCAAAAGCGTTGGGGCGATGCTGATCAGCCGGAAGCCCCCCGTTGCGTTAGTGCCAGATGCGCGCCGACGTTACCGACACATACGATCTTGTTTTGATTGGTAAGGTTTCTCCCCGCAAACACGACGGAGTGGTTTCGAGCGGGCAGGCATCGTGCCCAAGATGTGGCAGTAAGCGCGATGCGTTCCCGAGCGGAAGAGCGATGTTGAGCGCGCGTGCGGCTGCAGAGCAGACAGACAGAGGCGAAGGTAAAGCCAATTGACCGTCAGCCCAACGTCGAACGTGATCCATTCTTCAACGCTGTAGATGCATGGCGCGCCCCGAACCCCAGACCAACGAATTGAACGTCAGCCCGATGTCGAACGTGATCCATATTCCAACGTTTTGGCTGCATGGTGCCCCCCGAACCACAGACCAACGAATCCGCCGATCTTTCCTGACCGCCGTGCGTGGCACATGGTGTTGCTTGGTTGCGTCTGGGAAGTATCCTCACCGCCCTCGTTCAAAACTGCCAGCGAACTATCCTCATACCCTTCGCTTGCGTCCGCCAGCGAAGTATCCGCTCCCCCTGGCCCACACCTGCCAGCGAAACATCCTCACCCTCTGGCCTAAACTGCCAGCGACATATCCTTAACCCCATGGCTTAAAATTGCCAGCGGGACATCCTCACACCCCTCAGCGAAATATCCCCACCTGGCCTAGAACTGCCAACGAGATATCCTCAACCCCAGACTTCAATCTGCAAGCGAAATATTCGCACATTCCTCGCTTAGGATTGCCGGCGAAATATCCTCACCCCCTGGCCTAAAACTGCCAGCGAAATGTCCTCACACCCCTCGCTTAACATTGCCAGTGCAATTTCCTCACCCCGTGGCCTTAAACTGCCAGCGAGACATCCTCCACCCCCTGATTTCAAACGGCCAGCGAAATATCCTCACCCCCCGAAATAGAATTGCCATCGAACGGCTTCGGCGATTCAGTCCAGGTCTGTCAGTCAGCTCTGCCAGTCAGTTCTGCCAGTCAGTTTCGTCTCGACCCCCCGGGGAAGTATGGGGAACTGTGGGCAGTGGGCGGGAAGACGAAAGCACAGAAAATATGATAGAATATGGGCCATCCTGGGATTTGGGCGCCCAAGTTGAGGCCGTAACCGTAAGCCCGTGGGCTTCCGTGGGCGTCTCGTGGGCTCGAAGGCCCATGGGCCGCGGCCCGCCTCAGGCATGGGTGCTGGCAAGGGCCAGGAGGGGCCGTGAGGCAAGGATGCCCAGGATCCGCCTCGGAGTACAGCCAACCAGTGACAGAAGGATGCGCGGCAAGGATGCCGGTGCTTTGGAGGGCCACGTCACCGGTCTTCGAACGTTGTTGGCCAGCGAGAGTCGCTGAGGATTCGGGGGTGGACAGACCTCCTACCCTGACACGTTGATTAGTGAGTCGTCCGTTTCCGCTTCTCGAGAGGGCGCCGCGGCCGTCATTTTCCAGGCTTGCACCCGCCAGGTGTGGGTCCGAGGTCGTTTTCACTAAACCACGTTTTACTAAAGGGGGCTCTGTCCGTCCCCGAAGGATGCCAGGGTAACCTTGGGAATGCTGCTCATCTTGACCATGCGGGTCGACTGTGCTGGTCAGAGCGCACCCTGCTGGAAGTCCTGGGAGTGGCGGCAGCGGTAGCCTTTTGTTCCCTAAGAGGGGGGCACTTCTAGGGGAAGTCGCGAAGTAGCCGCTCCTGAGGATCGAGGGTCGTGGAGAAGGGTGGATCGAGGATGGAAGGGCTTCTGAACGTGTCTCGGCGATCGGGGTGGCTCTGGGTGTGTGTGGGATGTCCTGGGACGTATTCGTCCCAGGACATCCCACACACACACACACACACACACACACCTGTGCGCTTTGCTTGTATGAAGCCTCGACGTGATCACGGTGATGCTATTGGTATCGATAGCATCGATCATATCGTGCTCCTCCCCCTCCTCCCCAGGATGGGGTGGCGACCCCCCGAGTAGCGACCCCCCCCGAGCGCTGCCCCAGGGCCCAGGGGTTGGCCTGCTGAAGCGCGACACCAAGAAGCGCGACCGGCTCTGCCGCTCGGATCACACGCCGGAGGCAGGGCAGACTCCCACTGTGATGGATCGCGTTTTTCGAAGAAGAAACGTTATAGACATACATTTGTGGCGCTCTGCGCGTATTTCTTGGATCCGCGCCAGGCCCCGCTCCCTGGCGCGCGGATCGCGCCATGGGCGGCGCCAGAGGCGCCGCCGCGGGGGGGGGGGCCAGCGCGGATCCAAGGAATCAGCGCGGAGCGCCAACAGTTTATTCCCAACCATCCTGTGGTGTTGGGTCCTCGTTTTGAAAGGACGGTGCCCCGCGTTCTTCCTCATCCTCCTCCTCCTCCTCCCCCTCCTCCCTCCCCCTCCTCCCTCCATCGGCACACCCCTCACGCGCTTCGTGGCCCCATAGGGGGCTCCACCGTATGCCCAAATGGCTGCTCTCGCATGCGTCTCCCCCATCCAGTACAGCGTTTCGTGGCCCCATAGGGAGCTCCACCGACAGCGCCAGTGGCTGCTCTCGCATGCGTCTCCCCCATCCAGGACAGCGTTTCGTGGCCTCATAGGGAGCTCCACCGAAAGCCCCAGTGGCGCAGTTCGCATGCGCCTCCACCCACTCAGGACAGCGCTTGGTGGACCCATAAGGAGCTCCACCGAACGCCCCAGCTGCACTCGCACGCGTCTCCCCCATCCAAGACAGCGCTTCGTGGCCCCACGCGGAGCTCAACCGAAAGCCCCAGTGGCACAGTTCGCATGCGCCTCCACCCACTCAGGAAAACGCTCGTGGCCACTATAGGGCTCCACCGAAGGCCCCAGCGGCTGCACTCGCATGCGTCTCCCCCGCCCGGGACAGCCTTTCGTGGCCCATAGGGATCTCCACCGATTGCGATATTCACAACGACGGTATTCACAACTGCATATGGTTGGGTCCTTCGCCAGGCTAATTGTGTTTTTCCCAACCATCCTGTGGTGTTGGGTCCTCGTTTTGAAAGGACGGTGCCCCGCGTTCCTCCTCATCCTCCTCCTCCTCATCCCCCTCCTCCCTCCATCGGCACACCCCTCACGCGCTTCGTGGCCCCATAAGGGGGCGCCACCGTAGGCCCAAATGGCTGCTCTCGCATGCGCCCCCCCCGCCCAGGGCAGCGCTTCGTGGCCCCATAGGGAGCTCCACCGACGGCGCCAACGGCTGCTCTCGCATGCGCCCCCCCCCATCCAGGACAGCGCTTCGTGGCCCCATAGGGAGCTCCACCGAAGGCGCCAGCGGCTGCTCTCGCATGCGTCCCCCCCGCCCTGGACAGGGTTTCGTGGCCCCATAGGGAGCCCCACCGACGGCGCCAGTGGCTGCTTTCGCATGCGTCTCCCCCACCCAGGACAGCGCTTCGTGGCCCCATAGGGTCCACCGAAGGCGCCAGCGGCTGCTCTCGCATGCGTCTCCCCCGCCCAGGACAGCCGTTCGTTCAGTGGGCCTCATAGGGGGCTCCACCGAAGGCGCCAGTGGCTGCTCTCGCATGCGCCTCCCCCGCCCAGGACAGCGTTTCGTGGCCCCATAGGAAGCCCCACCGAAGGCCCGTGTGGCTGCTCTCTCATGCGTCTCCCCCACCCAGGACAGCGCTTCGTGGCCCCATAGGGAACTCCACCGACGGCGCCAGTGGCTGCTCTCGCATGCGTCTCCCCCGCCCAGGACAGCGCGTCGTGGCCTCAGCCTCATAGGGAGCTCCACCGAC